TTATCTATCTATCTATCTATCTATCTATCTATCTATCTATCTATCTATCTATCTATCTATCTATCTATCTATCTATCTATCTATCTATCTATCTATCTCCCACCCAACAGAAAAGTTTTGTGATTTTGCATATGGGACTTAATCGCCTTATGAGAGCCCTTATCTTTTTGAGATGGTAATGTAAGAGGTTGAATGTATATTACATTTACTTAAGTTGAATTAGCCAACTAACTCCAGGGATTAGAGTTTTGCCTGGGATTACATACACTTCTGCTTGTTATCCGAATTGCTAAAACTGTTGACTGTGGAATTAACTAACCCTTCCATCTACCAAGATAGCAGTCCTAGAGCCCTGATGGTGAACCTATGGCATGCATGCCAGAGGTGGCACGCAGCACCCTCTCTAATGGCACCCGAGCCGTTTCCCCTGTTCAGCTCCGGCACGCATGCACATGTGCCTCCTGCTGACCAGCTAGCCTTCGGGTCTCTGCCGCGAATGTGTGGGGTGTGTGCAGGGGGTTGTGTGTGCATGCTTGGGGGGGCAGGATGCATGCCGTGGGTCACACATGGGGGTGGGTCACATGTGGGGGGTTACGATTGCATGTGCGGGAATCATAAACGCATGTGCGAGGGTGGGGTGCATGCGCAGGTGTGTGTGTGTGTGCATTGCATTTGGGGAGTTTGGGTGTGTGCACATTCGTGCACGTGCTTTAGGCACTCAGTCTGGGAAAGGTTAGCCCTCACTGCCCTAGAGAAACATAGGGCCTCTCTAGGCACTCTATGGGTATTTTGCTTTCACACATCTCCTCCCCAATGAAAAATAAATATATTGGCTGGGAGGAAGTGGATCGGAAATGGGACGAATGCCTATTATTCCATTTCTCCAATACACAGAGCTGCTTCTGAACATAAGAAAAGAAGTCCATTCCTCTTTCCATTCTCTTTATTGGGCTACAGTTATTGTTGCTATAAATCATGGCCCATGATGCAGGTGGACCACAACTGAGCCCAGCATTTCTCTTGCTAAGTGAATTTTGCCCCATTTTACAACCTTTCTTGCCATAATTGTTGCAGTTGTTAAGTTAGTGACACGATTGTGATGTGGATCTGGCTTCCCCGTTGACTTTGTTCATCAGAAGGTCGCAACAGGTGATCATGTGACCCCAGGAAAGTGCAATTAGTCATAAATATGAATCAGTTACTAAGCTTCTGAATTATGATCACATGATCACAAGCATCCATTGCAGGGATGCTGCAATGGTTACAAGTGTGAAAACTGGTCAAAAGTCACTTTTTTTCAGTGCCGTTGTAACTTTGAACAGTCACTAAATGAACTTCTATAAGTCGAGGACTACCTGTATTGGAAACCTCAAGTTTCCCAGTCATATGTCAAAAAAATATTCCTCCCTTCTCCTGGAAATAGATTTGCTCTTGGCTCCTGCTTAGTCCTTAAAACTGAAATTAAATTGCCCTCCAAAATTTAACATTCATTTACTATTACATAGAGTTACATAGTTAAAAAAAAACCTTTCCCCCCTTACCACCTCTCCTGAACGTTGAATGACAGTTTTGTTTCGGTTTTTACCTGGACTAGGATAAAAGACAATATTTCATAACAGATTCTCCTTCTTTCTCCAAAATCTCACTGTCCCACATCTCTTTTTGTTTGGTTTATATTTTTAGCTCTTGGCCATAATTGCCTCTTCTTTTAATAGCAGATTGCACGTCCCAGTTTAAAATAAGAAGCTCAATTTCCTTTTCCACGTCAAAAAAAAAAAAAAGCTTGCTTTTAGGATGAGAGAGAGAAGTCACCCATTATCAAAAGAGGATGTCCTCAAGATGACTCAGCTGAATATTCCGCATTCAACAGTTCTTTACCAAAAAGGGAAAACTCACTTCTTTTTATAACTATCAGTGTGGAGCCTTGATTAACCTTAGTTTTTCCCAACTCAGTATTCACCCCGACACATTATACCAAAATTATTAGAATCTCTCACCAGCACAAAGGATTCCAGAACTTAAAATGACTCCCTGGAGAAGAGCCTAATGCTGGGAACAGTTGAGGGCAAAAGAAGAAGGGGACGGCAGAGAAGGAGGTGGCTGGATGGAGTCACGGAAGCAGTCGGCGTGAGCTTCAATGGACTCTGGAGGAGGGTAGAGGACAGGAAGGCCTGGAGGAACATTGTCCATGGGGTTGCGATGGGTCGGACACGACTTCACAACTAACAACAACAACAGCAACAACAAAAATGTCCTATTCCTCAGGAAATTCCCAGGTTAGAGAAATATGGCTTTCCCCCCATATAGTTCATCTCAGCAATCCATATATGCTCAACCAGGGAATAGTCAGGTAACTTGTTGGAGTTGAGAACATCACAACAGGGGTAAGCAGCCATAATATCACAGAAGACATCAATTCCATTCCATTCTGACCAGAGCTAGAAGGGGCATTGGAGGTCTTCTAGTCCAACCCCTTGCTCAGGCAGGAGACCCTATACCACAGGTGTCAAACTTGCCATGTCACGTTGATGTCATGTGACGTATTGTGATGTTTTCGGCCTTTGCAGAGCTGGGGTGGCCATGGCAGATCTGGCCCATGGGCCGCCCGTTTGACACCCCTGCTCTATACCATTTCAGACAAGTCCAGTCTCTTCCTAAAACCCCACCAGTGATAAAGCACAACTTCAGAAGGCAAGCTGTTCCGCTGGTTAATTGTTCTCACTTTTAGGAAGTTTCTCCTTAATTCCAGGTTCCTTCTCTCCTGGATTAGTTTCCATGCATTGTTTCTTGTTCTGCTCTCAAGTGCTTTGGAAAATAAGTTGCCCCCCCCACCCCACTTCTTTGGGACAGCCCTTCAAATACTGGAGTATTGCTATCATATCCTTCTTTTTTCTAGACGAAAGGTAAAGGTTCCCCTCGCACATATGGGCTAGTCGTTCCCGACTCTAGGGGGCGGTGCTCATCTCCGTTTCAAAGCCGAAGAGCGAGCACTGTCCAAAGACATCTCCATAATCATGTGGCCGGCATGACTAAAGGCCGAAGGCACGCGGAATGCTGTTGCCTTCCCACCAAAGGTGGTCCCTATTTTTCTACTTGCATTTTACATGCTTTCAAACTGCTAGGTTGGCAGAATCTGGGACAAGTAACAGGAGCTCACTCTGTTACGCAGTGCTAGGGATTCGAACCACCGGACTGACAACTTTTCTGATTGACAAGTTCAGCATCTTAGCCACTGAGCCACCATGTCCCTTTGGCATCTTAGCCACTGAGCCCCCTAGACATACCCAATTCCTGCAACCCTTCTTCATATGTTAAGTCTCCTTAATCATCTTAGTTGCTCTTCTCCGCACTTCTTCCAAAGTGTCAAGATCTTTTTTTTTTGTAATGTGGTGACCAAAACTGGATGCAGGATTCCAGGTGTGGCTTTACTAAGGATTTATAAAACGGCACTAATATAACCAAATATATCCAACATGCTCTTCCATGTTTGGGCAAAAAGATGGAAGAACTTTGTTTCTGGTAAGCTTGGGATGCGGAGAGGTGTTCAAGCACGAATTGTCATGGGCTTCAGAGAAGAAGATGCAAAGCGCTATTATGAAATCAACATGTCTGGTTTAGAGTAGAAATCCCCAAAGTTTCGGGAGGTCATTGGATCCTTTTGGTGTCTTGAAAAATCTGATTGCAAAATGTCTTCTGGAGGAGGAAATTGTCTATTTGCAAAACAGCTTACTAGGGGACATAACCAGTTCTTTGTATTATATCTCATCTTTATTATTTTTAACAAATAAGATGTGTACATGTCCAGCACGCTTTCTTCCTCCTATTTTCCCCACAATAACAACTCTGTGAGGACGGTTGAGGAGAGAGAAAGAAGCATTGGCCTAAAGTCACCCAGCCGGCTTTCATGCCTAAGATGGGACTAGAACTCACAGTCTCCTGGTGATTGGCCCAAAGTCACCCAGCTGGCTTTCATGCCTAAGACAGGACTAGAACTCACAGTCTCCTGGTGATTGGCCCAAAGTCACCCAGCTGGCTTTCATGCCTAAGACAGGACTAGAACTCACAGTCTCCTGGTGATTGGCCCAAAGTCACCCAGCTGGCTTTCATGCCTAAGACAGGACTAGAACTCACAGTCTCCTGGTGATTGGCCCAAATCACCCAGCCACCTTTCATGCAGAAGGTGGGACTACAATTCACCATCTCCTGGTGATTGGCCCAATAATCAACCCAACTGACTTTCATAGCTGAGACGGGATTTGAACTCACAATCTCCCACTTTCTAGCCTGGTGCCTTAACCACTAGACCAAAGTGGCTATTACAAGGCATCAGCTTCAAAGCTACTTACAATTTCTTTAGTCCCTTCTCTTGTCCTATTCCCCTGCTTATCACTGCCTCTTGTTTTGAGCAAGTGGGCACAGTTCCAAACAAAGCATTGGGTTGATTTCATCATCGTCTTTATGTCTTAAAATATCTTTTAAGTTTCATTCAGGCCCCAGTGGCATATTTGGAGCAAGGAATCTGGTTGTAGCCAAACGAATGTCTGTGTATATATACACACACACTTGCTCCTGTGTTGAGAAACTAGGTAAAACACTGACACACAATAACTGGCATCTCGGGTTGGCATCTTTGGAGGGAGTTGGTCAACTCATAGTTTGAGTTTTACAAGTTGCTAGACCTACAGTCTTCCAAAATGTATGTGTTTGCTAAGCAACCAATGAAAACTCCCTTATGAGTCCCTGTGTTCCCCCGCGATCCCATTCACTGCTTCCTCCATCTTTAAGGATGACTTCCGGTGATGAGCACTGGAAACCGAGCCCCTCTGGAAAGTGGAAAGTCTCCTGCGGAAATTGCCTCCGGAAAAGTAATAGAGAAGTGGGTTGAAGCAACAGTTGAAGGCTGCCAGGGAATAGGTTATCACCACTGATTTCTGCATGTAGAGACTCTTCTCGCAGGAAGTCTCGTCCTTCATTAAGTGGAGGTGGACCGTGCGCTGGACGTGATATGGGGTGAAGCTCACGAGGAAGACAATGGTCACAATCAGGATCATCCAGATGGCTTTTCTGCGCGTGGCTTCTTTCTTATGCATGGAATTCTTCAGCAGCTTGTTTAGGATCATGGCGTAACAGATGGTGATGGTGGTGAAGGGAAAGATGAATCCGACGAACAATGAAATGTAGTGGAGAACCATCAGCTTCCTCATATCCTTGCTCTTTGGGGGCTCAAAGCATTTGGTGATATTTTCATGAGATAACTGGGTGCTCTTCTGCAAAAAAGGGCTGGTGGTCAGGGTTACGAAGAACCAAATGCCCACGCAGACGATGATGGCCTTCTTCCGGGAGATAAATTGGATATTCCAGATAGGGAAAACGATGGCAATGCAACGGAAAAAGCTCATCGCCGTCATGAAAAGGATGCTACAGTACAAGTTGACATACATGGCGTAGGAGCTGATGCGGCACAAAAAGTCACCAAAGAACCAGTTGCCCTTGTAGAGGTAGTAGACCACCCGCAGGGGCAGGGTGCATACAAAGAGAAGATCTGCGATGGCCAGGTTGAACATGTATATCTGGAAAGCCGTCTTCTCCTGGTACGTCCTGATCAGGACACACAACACAAAGCCATTGCCCACAAATCCCAGGATTGAGATGATGGAGTACGTTATGGGATACACCTGACTCCGAAACTCATCAATGGTGGCGTTGCATGACATGTTTTGCGTTGTGTTTGCAGGAAAAGCCATGGGAACACACTCATCTCCTAGGGAGCAAAAAGGGGGAAAAGAAGGAGGGAGAGAGAATATATAAGACACTCAGAGTGAGATTCAAATGTAAAGATGCTACCAATGAAGAAACTCAAAAAACTGATTTCTTCTTACACAATTTGTGGGAGAAGGAATGGCAGAACCTGGGGGTGACATGAAAAGAGGGATCAGCCTAGAATCCTTATGTAGCAACAAGTGAACTAAATCCAAACAAAGGAGTGGAATTCAGCAGATTCTGACCAGTTCTGGGGAAACGGTAGTGGAAATTTTGAGTAGTTTGGAGAACCGGTAAATACCATCTCTGACTGGTCCTGCCCCCATCTATTCTCTGCCTCCAAATTCCCAGCTGATTGGGAGGAAATGGGGATTTTATGGTATCCTTCCCCTCCACACCCACCAAGCCACGGCCACCAAGCCACACCACACTGAACCGGCAGGAAAAATGCTTTAAAAAGTGAAAAAAAGTTGGCCATACCCACCCAGTCACATGAACACCCCCCCCCCCAAGCCAGGCCCACAGAACTGGTGGAGGGGTTAGATTTCACCACTGGACTGCAGCTAAGTAATTAAAAGACACTTGCTCCTGGGGAGGAAAGCTATGGCAAATCTAGATAGCATACTAAAAAGCAGAGACATCACTCCACTAACAAAAGTGCATATAGTCAAGGCTATGGTTTTCCCAGTTGCAATGGATGGCCGTGAAAGTTGGACCATAAGGAAAGCTGATGAACCGGGGACTGGAAGCCGTTAAAGACTGGATGAGAGCAAACAAGCTGATACTCAACCCAGACAAGACCGAGTGGCTGTTGTGTTTCCCTCCCAAAAATTTGACCACCATACCATCACTC